CAGCTGACGACTCAGAATTAGTTGCTTCCTACGAAGAAGTGGACCAGGTCGTCCGCAATGAGAAGTCCTTCTAAAAGTTTGTTGTGGGGGACTTTAACGTGAAGATCGGGATGCCACTAAAAGAGGAATGTAGGATCGGGAAGTTTGGATATGAGATCCAAAATGAAAACGGCAACCGATTCTTTTGACGTCTCTCCGCCGCACGACTTTCCCATGGAAATTCCATGGCTCCTTCAAGCGAAGATACGATTCAGTCAAAAACTGGAAAAGAAAGTCTGCCACAGCGCCGCAAGAAGGAAAGTGGTTTATGACGGTAACAGGTTAGAAGAGCTCATATCAAGTTGTTTACTGGCCCATCGAGGAGGATTCAACGTACGACTACGACAGGCTTCTGAAAGGATTGCGAGCCTGCGGAGAGTGCGCCTCAGTGACTTCTGAGAAGAACTTGGAACGTATTTCGAAGACTACAAAGGAATTGCTCGGAAGAAGAAGATTTCTGAGGCAGGATCCGAATGCAACACATCTCGAGCTACTGATAGCCAACGCCAGTTGCAGAACAGCTTTGCAGGAGGATCCCAGGAAGTACAGGCAAGCCAAGATACTGGAAGCAGCCGAAGGAAGACGAAGTTTTAAGAAATGCCGAAGGGACCTCTGTGTATATCACGTACCGCTGGCTGCACTATTAAACGAAGACGGGACTCCGACTTCTTCCCGATACAAGATGGAATCCATCGCGAAAAATTTTTACAAATTTTTACACCAAGCTCTTCCGCTTATCAACACCCTACCGATGCCCATTGTTCCCACTGGAGAAGCACCACCACGAATTCTAGCGTCTGAAGTGCGATTCAGACCATGAAGACACCCACGGCTTCAAGAGCAGACCTCTGTCTGTCAAGCTTCTGCGAGTCGGAGGTCACCGTCTACACGAGGTTCTAGCGTGGCATTTGACATCTACCTTCAGAAGGAGAAAATTCCCGACCAGTGGAGAACCTCAAGAACCGCCCTTCTTTTCAAGAAGGGTGAACGGGAGGATCTTTGGAACTACCGTCCAATATGTCTGCTGAGTGTGCTGTATAAGCTTTTCACGATGATTATCCTCGCTCGCATATCTAGGACACTGGATGAAGACCAACCCTAAGAACAAGCTGGATTTCGCAAAGGATCCAGCTGCAGTGACCACATCCAGACGATTTCGAGAGTCATCGAAGTCTGCTGGAAATGCTGCCTTTCGTCCCAACCCTCGTCGACTATGAGAAAGCCTTCGACAGCCCAGCTTACGTGAGGACACCAGTCATACCTTCGATAGTTTAGAGACAGGGCGCCAAAAGTGACGGTTGTTTGAACATCTGACGTCATAAATAGTGAAGGTTGTTTAAAGAAGATCAGAGAAGAGAATATGACGTAAAACAGATATAAAAAGAGAAAGAAACTGTTGAAAACCGGATAAAAACGCTGCAAAGAGGTCTGAAATCTTTCATTTGGCGGCTTTTCGGAGTGCAAGTTTTCGCTCCAGGACCAGCAGTTCGCAACACGGGCTTTGGTTTTTATGTGTCCTTTAAATTTTTACCCCCGCAATGACGTTCTTGTTTCCTGGGACGTTGTCTGAATTGCTGCGCTTATTGTTCTGAGCAGCAGTCGCCCAGCTGGAAAAAAATCGATGCGAAAGCACTGAAATAGAGTTAGATGAAGAAAAACGCACTTTTTGCGATTTTTCACGAAAAATTTCATCATAATCGAAGAGGTAAGGGCTGGGTGGTTGTCTGCATTATGAACAGAAGCAAGATCTATAGAATGCACGAAAAAACCGCATGAAAATGTTCAAACTAAGAGGATAACAAGAGATTTTCGAAAACAAGGTTTTTGACGGATTTCTCGATCAAATCAAAAAATGTGGTTCTAGAACGTTGCCAGCGTGAAAATAGAGATCAAGAGCTTCAAAATGATACATAGCTTGCTAAAATTGGGTTCGAAACAGCGAAGAAAAGGGTACCAGAGCCATATGCCCCGCGCCCCGCGTTTGGGGTAGCGAGGTAGCGCGCAGCGCGCGGAGACGCAGACGAGCAGTTGAACCAGACCAGAGCCGACGGGGCATTGGTTCTGGTAGCAAATCTCCGCGGGGTCTGAAAGAAATCCTACAACATTATATATCATTCTGATCGCCATGACACGACGAGGAGAACTGACAACGTCCCAAGCTTTGAAAATCGCTCATTAACGAGACAGGCCAGCGTTTTCGTGCGCGACTCTCTGTGCAAGATTTAAGTGCAGTTTCTCGCTTTTGTTTATCTCCAGTAGCTTTCCTAAACTTCTGAAACTCGATTTTGTTCCAGTGAGAGGATAGCTGAGAAATTTTGTAATGAAAAAAAGGCTATGAAAACGCAAATTCTCGGTTTCGCTGAGATAAGCCAAAGATATTATCCCCTATATTTGCTTCACTAACATTCGTTCCGATATAGTTAGGATAATAACATCAGGGGCAAAGCCCCAGATGACTATTTTTTTCCAGGTGAAGGTTGTGTCCCCCATAGCCCTCAAAGTGAAGGTTACCAGAGTACGTGGCTCTATGTATCGAGGGTATGACACCAGCCGACTGCTATAAGGACTGTACAACAACGATGCAGCTATTACATCGTCCCCTAGTTATTCCAATTGGTAAGGGGGCTCGACAGGGCGACACTATTTCGCCGAAGTTCATGGCCTTGCAATAAGTGATGAAGTCACTGGACTGGGACGAAAGAGGCATACGAGTTGATGGGAGATTCCTGTCCAACCTTCGTTTTGCGGACGACATCGTTCTCTTCTCGAGCAGTATCACCGAAGCAGAGACGATGCTGAAGGAACTTAACAAAGTGGGGAAGAAGATCGGATTGCGAATTAGTCGGAAGAAGACTCATTTCATGAGGAACGCCTTTTAAGAAGATGCGGAAATGGAATCTTCTTACGTGTATCTCAAACCTGCGGTGATCGTGGAGATCGACTTGAGGGAAGAGATTAACAGAAGAAGAAGAGCAGCCTGTGCCGCCTTCGTGCCTCTGAAGGAAGCCACCGACCAACTGACAGACCCAGAGCTTCGTCCTCACCTGTTTGACTCAACCGTTCTCCCGACGCTTTCTTACGCAGCTGAGACTTGGGCTGACACAGTAGCTACCTCGGAAGCCTTACGGAGCACCCACAGAGCGTTCAAGCGCAGTCTTCTGAAAATGACCCGACACAGGCCACATCTAGAGGGATTTCGCATTACGGATATGAGAAAAGTGTCCCGGCTTTGTGACCCAGCGGAATACGTCGCAAAAGGGGAACATCGATTTGTCGGTCACATCATGAGAAAAGCAGACGACAGATGGACATTAAGAACATTTGAGTGGATTCCTCGCGAAGCCAAACGTCCCCGAGGAACCACCAACGAGATGGGCAGACATGTTGTGGAACGGATGTACCAGCTAAGAAATCAGCTGGATACGATTATCGCACCTGGAACTCGTGGACGCAGCCACCACCGACGGCAACCAAGAAGATTGTGGATATCTGAAGCGAGGGACAGGGACAAATGTAAACTCTTGTGCTGGGGCCCGCACGCCACGTGAAGACGAGCCATCTAAGTATCTAACAAGGAAACGATACTTGGTGACCCTAGCCATTTGGTATGCGATGTATACCATAAGGTGTACCTCAAAACGCTCATTGTCAATCTGTGCTCGAAATCTGCGAAATGATCATATGAACGCAGTTATGAACCTTTTTTCGTAGAAAATTTGCGTTTTTTTAGGTAGTAAAAATCACCCAATTTGATCTATTTTACCGTTTGAAGCTATTGAGAAGAACTTGAAAGGTGTAACGTTGTATTTATACCTATCTATCATATTTAGCCTTTAAAGAGGAAAGCAAAATTTTTATTAATGATTTTCACCCTCCACACTAGCGCAATTCATTTTTGAAAAAAATATAACTCCATCCATGCTCTCGTTTCGCAGGTATGGAAAACAATATTCGAACCAGCATTGAAAGGCGCATTTTTTGATGTACAAACCATTATGAATGGCCGGGATCACTAAGTATCATTTCCTGTTGAGTATCCAAGAGTGACGAAAGACTTACAAGGCAGCGAAGTTGTCGAGTACCAGCCGAACCTACCGCATAGCAGCAGAGAGCGGCTCTGGTATAAACAGGGTGCGGAAGAAGTACTCTCTCTCAAAATAAAGTTCAAAAAATCGGCATAATCACAGGTTTTTCTGGTGAAATTAACATAATTCCCAAGATGTGAATATATTCTAGCATTTTACAAAGGTTGGCTTCAAAATTCTACAATTTTTACCGGCGGCGGATCCGATATTACTGCTTGAGGAATGTAGTAGTAGACCTTAAATATTCTGATAGTCTCCAGTCAGCAGTTGCACTAGGATAAAAGGTGAATTTTTCTAACGAGAAAATGGCTGCGGAGCAACAGAGTACGATCAGAAAACGTGGCGCGGAGACTAGGTACAATCGTTTATCGCTCCAAAATCGTGGTGTAGACAAAGTCCGAAGCTCTATTCATTATTCCTGTTACTTTTTGATGGAATCCGGGATTTCAAATCAAAGTTTAAATTCAATTCATCAAGCAAGCGCGGTCTTGACTCGCCTCTTTTTCGAGATTTTTGCGATTTGTGTGTGGTGTGACTAATCTTCCTTATTTGGCCAAAACAAAAGCCACCAATCTATAATTCATTTATAATGGGTATAGAATAGTGGAGAAGAAGTCATGCACTACATACCAGCTTGGTTTGAACCTTATACCAATGCTGGTGGTATATTATAGTTACGGTCCAAAATCGCGCTTGTATGCTATCGAGGCATCGTTGATGTTCTTGAGCGCTGCTATCACTCGTTCAAACGGACAGAAACAAACAATTTCGAATGAAAAACGAAAAACAATTAATCTTTTTCATCTAACCTCAATGATTTCGCCTACGCATGGGAATCAAAAAACTACAGTTTGCTTTATGTTTTAAATATTTCAGGAGCCAACCTGGAGCAGCAATCGTTCTCTTTTATTGAAGGTGGGTCCGAAAGTTTGTGCCGTTTTTTAAGCCTATTCTGAAATTGTTCAGATTGATGATAGACGAATCGTTTGAACAGTATCCAATGCAAAGTTTCTTCCTCTTTCCAGCGACTGTGTTTACTCTCGTCGAAACTGCCACGAGCGCTGAGATGTGTCGAAAATTAAAACCCCTCATTTTTTAACATGTCTGAGTTTCGCTAATTTTCAGAATTTTCACATCAAATCTTTGAAGGTGCTTTAATAACCGTCTGATAGTGCAAACCTTTTTTAATTCAGTGCAATTTTTGCATTTTTCAGCTTCCTCTTTGAAAATTTGCTGGATTATTTTACAAGAGCATTGAATTTTTAAAAAGTCGCGTGGCACATAATCGCACCAGACACTGCAAAAATCCTCAAAATATTGAAGTCCCAAAATTCGATTAGCACTATCACCGTATTACGAAGTAAATGAGCGATTACGGCGTGAAAATGGGTGGATTATACAACCTGGCGCACCCGTAAAATTGGGTACAGCTATTTTGTTTGAAAAAGTCGCATGTTTTGCGAAAAAAAGGGAGCTGCTTTTTTCTTCTGCTAAAATAGGAGAAAAAGATGCATCGAATGGTACCTAAATTGTTATCGTCTGACTTTGCGAGGTTGAATTGAGTCAAATATAGAACTTGCTCACTTCAGAAAAGATATTTCAATAATTCTAGAAAGATGCCAGTGATGCAAAACATTAAACTGCAAATGCTTGCCCTATCAGGTTGGTTAATAGAGCACCTTCACAGGAATAGGATAAAAATTCTAAAAATTAGCGAAAGCCAGACGTGGTAAAAATGAAGGTTTTTTGGCTATTATTTGAGCGCTCTTCGACACAGTCACGGAGGAAACGTAGCTGCTGGAAAGTGGAAGAAATTCTGCATCGCATATACATTAGATCGGTCCGAAAGTCCGTGCTGTTTCTCAGACCCATGCTCAAACCACCTAGAACAATGATAGACCAACGCTTCAAAAAGTGTTCGATGCAGAAATTTTTCATTTTTTAAATGGTTATGTTTTTGACCAGATTCCTTCAGTGCCCGCTCGATTATCGCCAGAATCTCTAATCCGTGGTTTTACCGACCCTAAATTCCGCTATTTTTTCAAATTTCATTTTTCAACTTTTCGATTAGCTTTGATAACAGTTAAATAGAAACAAAAAAAAACAGTACATTTTTTGGCATTTCTGTTTGGATTCTCAGATTTTTTGGAAATATTTTTTGATGCTATCAAATTCCATATCGAACCATCCCAGTCCTAATTCATATTTCCTAACTTGTCCCAGGTTGAAACCAAGAAATTCGGAATCCGATATTTCGAACTGCTAAACGCTTAGTTGCTTTCTAAAATTAGCTTTAAGTAGTAAACTGTTTTTGGAAAGTTCAAATTCCGAAGATTCTCTATGTTTGACACGACTTCTCAAAAGTAAAGGCTTTTGGAAAAATTACTTCAAAAAATGCTGAAAAGCTAGGCTGAAAAGACCAAAATATCAGGTCGGTGCGAAAGTTTTGTCAGTTTTTCCAATCCATCGGCAAACACGTTAGAATGGAGCTAAACAAACACTTCAAATGTGTTCGATGCAGAATTTCTTCCTCTTTCCAGCGCTAAACACATACTGTGTTGCTTTGCGAGAGTGACGAGATGGACATGGTAAAAACAAGTGGAAATTACAACCACTTGTTTTTACCATGTCCAACTTTCGCTCTAATTTTCAAAATTTTTGTATGAAACTTTCGGAGGAGCTCTAATAACCAGCAGATAGGGCAAATCTTTTGCCAACTCATGCAATTTTTTTCTTTTTTTCAGCTGCTTATTCAGAATTTTGCTAAACAATTTTCCAAAAGTCTTGTGTTTTGGAAAAATCGCATAACCTGTTATTGCATCAAACACTGCAAAAACTACAGAAAACTGAGGTTTCAACACTTGATTATTACTACCGCTACCATTACAAAGTGATTGAGCGATTTTCCCTTCAAAACATGAAGATGCTGAAACATAGTCTACGTCAGTGTCAGTGCGCACTCCTGAAATTGAGAAATACTGCGATTTTCCCCACAAATTTCGCCTGTTGCTGCAAAAAAGACAAGTGTTAGAAAGAAGAGAAAAAGTTGCATCGAATGGTGACTGAAGTGATTATTTAATGTTCTATGAGGTTAAAATAATCTGAATATAAAATTTGGTCACTTCAGAAAATAAACCGTAGAAATTCTGGAAGACAAGTAGTAGGGAGCTCTAATAACTAGGGCTACAAAAATTGTTTCTGGCAAAAGATTTGCCCTATCTGCTGGTTATTAGAGCTCCTCCAAAAGTCTCATGCAAAAATTTTGAAAATTAGCGAAATTTGGACATGGTAAAAACGAGTGGTTGTAATTTCCAGCAAATATCTCATCACTCTCGCAACGAAACGCAACGGGAGTTTAGTAGCTGGAAAGAGGAAGAAATTTGCATAGGATACATTTTGAAGCCTTTGTTTATCTCCATTCTAACGCTGCTGTCAAAGCTAGTCCGAAAGTTAAAAATGGAAATTTCAAAAGATTAGCGAAACTCAGGATGAGTAAAAACCATGGGTTGGAGAATTTGGCGATCATTTGAGCCGACATCAAAGGAATCTGGACATGAGCATGACCTCCAAAAAGGAGAAAGAAATTCTTCATCAAACGCTTTTTAAGCTTTTGTTTATCATCATTATAAGCGGTTTGAGCTTATGTTCAAAAAACTGCACGAACTTTCGGAACCATTTGATAAATTATGCTGTCCCGAAAGTTCTGTCCCTTTTTTCATCGCTCGCTAAAACTCACAGAACACCAATCCATGGATGGCTCAAATATCATTCAACTTAGATTTTTATCCTCTTTCTTACAGTCATAATTGCTCTCTGATCTACCCTGTACTTGCGCTGCTATCGCCATGCCTTTTTGAGCAGCTCAGCAGTAAAGTCAAATCTTTCCTGAATTTTGAAAATTTTTATGAAGTTTTCAAAGAGCCCTGGTACTGTTATGGAGAGCAAACCTTTGGCTATATTGCGCCTATTTTAGATTACATAGGCCACGTTTACCAAGTCCGTTATGATTATTATTTTAATAAAAACCGCGCCTTTTTGATCACGTTTACAACGTGAAACTACCGAAAATTCCAACAAGCTGCTTTTTCAAAGCAAATCAAACTTGGTTATGTTGCAGAAATAGTGTTAGATAAGAATCATGTTTTGATTCACAGAAACATTGAAAGCTTTCATGTATTTACTGCAGTTGCGTGTCTCATGACTTGGCCAAAAATCGAGACCTTCGAAAACAATAATTTTTCAGAGCCAAAAACAACAGTCTAGGAGAATCTAGAAATATTACCTTGTAGTCCGATAATTGCTTTATTTGATGCATACTTAACCCTTTCCGAAACTTCAATATGAAATTTTTAAAAATTAGCCCTTTAGAGGTGAGTTGACAGGTGGAGAATTCTGGCAATTATTGAAGAAATAATGCAAGATTATGGTTCGAAAATGTATCCATAAGAAAGAGAAGGAAAAACTGCATCGAATATATGTTGAAACTTATTCAGGTCTCTACTGTGCGTGGTTTTATAGTGGTTTGAAGAAAGGACACAACTTTCGGGACAACCTAAAATACAGGGTGTCCGTAAAGTATATACACACTGTTTGATCGTCAATATCTTTTTTCCAGCAAATCTTTCCTTACTTCAGGTAACGTTTTGTAGAGCTGGCTTCAACTTAGAGTTACAGTATGGAGAAAATCACCGACAGCTCTTCATTACTGTAGGATTACGGGAGAAACTAAAAACATATGGTGTCAATGTTGAAAAAGCTGCCATCTCAAAATTCGAAAACTTGTGTAATAGGGTTTTATGGAAACTGAGTTCAATACTCAACTCTTCACAATATTGCGAAGCTTTCTAAACGGTGTAAGCGCACTTTTTAGGAATATTGGAAAAATGGCCGCTACCTCTTACCCGGCATAACTCTTCAATAAAACATCATAATAAGTTGGGAACTTCAAAGTTAGAATCAACAACTCTGATTAGCCTCGTGTAAAAGCTTTCAGGCTGTTGGCCTTTTATGGCTCAAATTCTTCTTTGAAGTTTCTACCGTAATCCTACAGTAATGAAGAGAGATAGGTGATTCGTTCTGTATTGCAAATCTAAGTTGAACTCAGTTCTACAAAACAGTATCTGAAGCAAGGCAAAAGACTTGTTGGAAAAAGATATCAACTATCAAACAATGTATACATACTTTACGGACACCCTGTATATACAGGGTGTCCGTAAAGTATGTATACAAAAAAATGTGCACACTATTCGATTGTAGATAACTCTCTCGTGATGAAGTGTTTCGAAAAGCTTTGAGTACCATTTTGTAGAGCGAGGTTCAACTTTGATTTACAGTATAGAGTGAATCTCTGATCACTCATTTTTACTGTAGGATTACGGTAGAAACATTGAAGAGGGCTTTGAGCCATGAAAGGCCATATTTTGTTGCAAAAATGAAACAAAACAACGTGAAAACTCTCACAGTGGGCTAGAGTTGCTGATTCTAAATGTGAAATTTGCAAATTTTCGTAATGCTTTATTGAAAAATTATGCGAGGAAAGCAATAGCCGCCATTTTTTTCAATGTTCCTAAAAAGTGCGGTTACACCGTTTAGAAAGCTTCGTAACCTTGTGAAGAGTTGGGTATTGAACTCAGCGTCCGTGAAAACCCTATTACATAAGTTTCCACATTTTTTTTTGAAAATTTCTGAAACGGCCGTTTTTTTACTATTGACACCATTTGTTTGAAGTTTCTACCGTACTCCTACAGTAAGAACAAGCAATCGGCGATTCGCTCTACACTGTAAATCTAAGTTGAACCTCGCTCTACAAAATGGTACCTAAAGCTTCTCGAAACACTTCATTACAAGAGGGTTATATACAATTAAAAGTGTGCACATTTTTCTGGGACACCTTGTATATATTAGGTTGAACCGAA